AGCCTCACACGGGGTCTGTCCCTGCCACGAGCACCACTCCCTGTCACCCCCAGAGCCTCTCCCCGGGGCTCATCCCTGCCAAACACTCCCTGTCCCCCATAGAGCCTCTCCACGGGGTCTGTCCCTGCCATGAGCACCACTCCCTGTCACCCCCACAGTCCCTCCCCGGGATCTGTCCCTGCCACGAGCACCATTCCCTGTCACCCCCACATCCTATCCATGGGGCTTGTCCCGGTTACCCCCAGACCCTCACACAATCTAGTCCCTGCCAGGACTGTAGCTCCCAAAGACTGAGGTGTGTGCATGTCTCTTGTTTAAAGGAACAAGGACACTTGTTTCCCTGCCCTGGTAGCAGAAGGGGAGATCCCTCCCCAGGGAAGCACCCAGGCCCCCCAGTACTCACCCCCGAAGCCAAGAGCCATGCAGGGTGCTGCAGGGGACAGACTGAGTGATGTGGCAAACGCTGGCAAGGAGATCTTCCTGACTACCTGCATCACAGCAAGAGAAACACTGACACCTTAGGAGTGGGAAGCAGGAGACCAGAGCTGTGCAGTGACAGTGGTTAGGAGGAGCTGACACACAGCACCTCTCAGAGCCTGGAAACCTGCCAAAGGCATCCAGGAGACTTGGCTCAACAGTGCAGGGAGCATTAGTGCTCCTGGAAGCAGAGCCTTCCCCTCCAGTGGGATCCAGCAGCAGGGCCTGGCTGCCTGCCCAGGCATAGCCCCAGGCAGGGACAGGGCTCTGCTCTCACCTGAGACTTTCCAAGATGAAAACCTGTTCCCTGAGCAGATCCCTGAGCCCAGCCCACCTCTCCTGCCTCAGGCTGACACTCGGGGCAGCACTGTCTCCCCCACGGCCAGTGGCAGGGCACAGGTACCTGTTTCTTGTGCAGACTGTAGAACAAAGCTTCCTGCTGCATCCCAAAGCCCACGTAGACCAGGACACCATGTTCCCAAGGGCAAAATGCAGCCAGGCTGGGTGGAAGGCTGTCAAGACCCTGGGGAGGGAAACCAAGGGCAAGAAAACAGGCTGAATTCTCCATCTCAACCCAACACAGTGGGGGACTAAAGGAGGGACATCCTGGGCTGCAGAGTCTGAGATTAGTATGGTGGAGGCTGTTTGTTCCTTCTTGCATTTCCATCTCAGATGTGCTCATGGAAGGCAAGGAGCAACCACAGCCTGCCAGGGAAACCTGAAGCAAATTGTTCAGTGTTGTAGGAGAAGGACACATGAGGGTCCAACAGGTTGATTTCCACTGAGATATTACTGGGCTTGAAGGTGGGATTGGGTCACAGATTGATTTAACACAAGAAAATAGGGCCCAGAAGATAGTTCTTGAGTAGTGGGTGCAAGATCAAACCTTCTCACCATGTGGAGAGCTGCAGAGCTTCCTTCCAGAAGAAATCCATTGTTTTGGAAACAAACAGAAGTACTGATAGAACCCAACTGCTGTATGGACCCAGAGGGTGTGAGGCTGAGGCCTCTTGCCCCCCAAATAGACCCAGCTCCCTCCTGCCTGCCAGTGGCTCCTGTCCCAGGGACCATCTCCACACCCTCCTCCCTTCCTAGCAGGTGTCCTGCTGCCGAAACCTCACCCCTGGGTTGGAGCCAGCGAGCAGCACAGACACACAGGGCTGAGCACTTGGCTCTGTGAACCTGTCACCAGGCTCCTGGCTCAGAATATTGATGCTCCTTGGAAGTGTCAGCGTTAGCAGCACGCTCATAATTAGATCTCCCTCCCTCCTGCATACTGTGCTCACAGCTGCCTGTGCTGGCACAGGGGCGTCAGCTCTTTGCAGGTGCAGCTTTGGGCTCCTCATGCTTAAAAGTCAATGCTGCAGGGCCCTTTGGCACTGCCACAACTCCTTGTGACACGCACAAAGGTGTGTTGAGAAGATGCTCTACGAGCGGCACTAACGGAGATGACTTTCCTAAGCACACATTCCCTTTCAGAGCCCTGTGCATCTTTCCTCCAGCTCTTCTGGTGCCAAGCCCCACGGCAGGGGCTGGCAGGTGCCAGGCTCACCTCAGGGCTGGTGGGAGCTGGGAAGCTGAGCCAGTCCAGGAGCTCACACTTGTCCTTGAGCCAGTCGGAGGCCCAGACGCTGAGCCGCCGGTCCGAGCTGGTGGCCAGCCACAGCTCACCCCCCTCCACCCCGAACTCGTGGTACTGGAACACAAACACAAGGCTGTCACTTGGCAGGTACAGAGGCTCGGAAGGAAGGTGACACTGGAGAGTGGGGCAGGAGTTTGTGGGAACACAGGCTTTGTGTTTAGGGGGCCAGTGCCAGGATTAACCCCCATTTGTGGCTGCCTCAACCCTGGCAGTTCCAGAGCAACCTGGGCTAGTGGAAATTGTCCGAGCCCAGGGCAAGGAGGTGGAACTGGATGAGCTTTAAGATCCCTTCCAACCCAACCTCTAGCCTGAATGACAGTTCTCTGGGACACCCTCTGGATCTGCACATCTCCTAGGGGAGTTCTTTCCCACACTGTGTTCCCTAACAATGTCCTTCACCTAAAACCAAGGAGGATCTCCTCAGTCTAAAATTCCCAGGGAACACAGCCTTGTGGCATGATTTTAAAGCCTGAGAACTTAGGGAACATTACTCCCATTTCTGCTGTGCAAAGGAAAAAGACTTTCCATGCAGAGGAGGAGAAGGGAGGTGCCAAGCCCATCCTGCTGCTGCACAACCAGGTCTTTTTAGCTCCACGGAGGGACAGTACAGCAGGCCAGGCTGTGAGGAGCTACATGGGGAAAGCACACTGAGCCTGTTTTGGGAGGCACAGCCTCACTCAGGTTGCACCTGCAACACTGTGGCTTTACTCCACTGAATATATCCCTGGAAAAACTGATCAGAAGCTACTGAGGGGATGAGGGAAGGATCCTGAAGAGGAAAAGCAAGGGACAAGGAATCAAACTGGCTGTCACAGCTGTGCAGGGACATGGGGACTCAGTTCCTGAGGTCTCACCTGCTTCCTGGTGCACTGGAGAGCAGTGATGGGGGAGCCTTTGTGGTCAGCCAGGACACAGAGAGTCACCCCAGTGCAAGGGCTGCTGACAGCCACCAGCCCATCCTTGTCCCCCGATAAGATAATTTCTCCTGTGGGCAGAGGAGGGGAAAGAATGGAACAGTTCTTGCAGGAGAAGAAAAAGCCCAGAGGAGAAAGGTTCAAGATGATGGGATTTAGGTGTCCTGAAACACTGTGAAACACTAGAAACATCCCAGTCTAGGGCTGAGTGAGCTGAGCTGTCTCAGACACACCCATTAAACTTCCATAGCAAAGAAGAGCCACAGTAGATCATAAGCAGGAGGGCACAAAGCTGCTTGTTGTACCACAACCCCTTTGCTATCCCTTTGCAATACACCTCAGGGTCCCATTTGCCACCTGCTCAGCTGGCAGAGCCACCACAGCTCCCTGGGACAAGTTGTGTGGCTCTCCCTGGCCCCAGGGTGTTGGGCAGGTGGCCAGGACAGAGCTGAAGGTCAGGGGAACCCAGGCACACCCAAGCTGTGTCCCCTGAGGCCACATGTCACCCCAGGCAGCCTCACCATCCGTGGAGTAGGTGATAGCTGTCAGTGCAGCAGTGTGGGGATGCATCTTCAGCTCCATCTCAGTCCTGGACACACTGAACACGCGGACGGTGCCGTCGCTGTATCCTGCCACCACGTGCTGGCTCTCAGCTCCCCAGGCCACCATGGGACATGGCTTCCAGGCCAGGCACTGGCAGCTCTGTGAGGCAACCAGAGACCCAGTGACACACTGAACACTTAGCCCAGAGGGGTTAATGCAGCACAAACACTGACCTGGTTGAGCACCTGGAACTGCACCACCAGCTCTGTGCTGTCCAGAGCCCAGATCCTCACGCTGCCATCCTCCCCACACGTGGCACAGTGAGCCTCATCAGGGCTGAAACACACTTCAGTCACCTGCAGCCAGCAATAGGGTGGGGAAGAGGGGCTTGATAGGTGCCACAGCCCCAGAGCACATCAGCCCCTCTCACCTCCTGGGACCCCAATCATGGGAGGCACCAGACAAGGTGGAACATAAACGACGGTGCTTCGGTTTTGGGCTTAACTTTTGGGCTGATAGGACAAGAAATGGCCTCAAGTTGTGCCAGGGGAGGTTTAGATTGGGTATTTGGAAAACCTTCTTCACTGAAAGGATGGCAAAGCACTGGAATGGGCTGCCAAGGGCAGTGGTAGAGTCACCATCCCTGGAATTGTTCCAAAAATGAGTGGATGTGGCACCTGGGGACATGGTTTAGTGGTGAACATGGTGGTGGTCCTGGGTTGATGGGTAGACTTGATCTTAAAGATCTTCTCCAACCTTAACAGTCATGGAAAATGGGAAACCTAACCCCAGAAGTAGGACCAAGCACTGTGCCCCACAAGCTGATGTCAAATACCTTCTACCCTTTTTTTTCTGTAGCATAAAAACAGCCCAAAGCGACAGCAGCACTCAGAGCCAGCCCAGCACCCCTGACCTTGTTCTTGTGGCCACTGATGAGTCTGATGCTTGTGCTCTCTGTCCAGTTGATGTACCACAGTGTTCCTGCTGTGGTGCCCACAATTCCCATTTCCAGAGAGTCATCGAAGGCTGCACTGACTATCGTCCCATCGAGGGTGATCTCGTGTTCCAGCAGGACTGAACTGGACCTGCAGGAAAGGAGGATAGGAGGTCTGACTCAGGGGTTGGAACAGCCACTCTGTCTCGTTTACACACAATTTTCTAGAGACCCCAGTCCTGTGTTTGGGGTGAAATAGTTCAATGACAGTGACTCCCACTGCACCGGGAGAGCTGGGAATGTCCAGCCTGGAGAGGAGAAGGCTCCACAGGGAGACCTTAGAGCCCCTTTCAGTGCCTAAAGGGGCTCCAGGAGAGCTGCAGAGGGACTTGGGACAAGGGATGGAGGGATAGGACACAGGGAATGGCTTCCCACTGCCAGAGGGCAGGGACAGGTGGGATATTGGGAAGGAATTCCTCCCTGTGAGGTGCTGAGGCACTGGCACAGGTTGCCCAGGGAAGCTGTGGCTGCTCCATCCCTGGGAGTGTTCCAGGCCAGGTTGGATGGGGCTTGGAGCAACCTGGGCTGGTGGGAGGTGTCCCTGCCCATAGCAGGGATGGGAGGATCTTTGAGGTCCTTCCAACCCAAACCAGTTTGGTATTTTATGATTTGCACTGCAACCATCTTCTATGGGAAAGAAAGAAAACAGGGGATGCAATAGTGGGAGAGAACAAAGGCAATTTATTTGCACCAATTCTCCCAAAGGAATTCCTACAAACCAAACTTCAGGTATGGTAAACTCCACCCACTTCCAGTACTAAGAGGGTTCAGCTACCTGTGGCAAAAACTCTCAAAAGATGCAGACAGAAAGACTCAGCAGTCACAGGGTGGAGAGGGAAAGCCAAGGATGAAGAGCACAGGAGCAGTGTGATGTCTGCCTGTGAAAAGCCACCTCAGACAGGTCCTGAGAGCTGCCAGGTGAGGGGACACAAGCTCCTACCTGGCCTCAGGCCCCTTCAGCCTCAGCTCCTGCACGGTGGCCACTGCCCACAGGCGGATGCGCTTCATGTTGCTGCCACTCACCAGCCTGTTGTGCCCACACACCAGCACCCCTGGGGCACAGAGGAACAAAGGGCACCTGTGAATACCCACTCACCCCAGGTGTGCTCCTGACAGCACTGATGCCTGTGGGCAGGGCACTGGGGAGGCCCCTACAGCCCAACACCCAGTGTTTTCACAGACTCGGGGTCTGCAGGGGCACTGGAACAGGCTGCCCAGGGCAGTGGTGGCCCTGGAAGTGCTCAAAAAGCACGTGGATGTGGTTGTTAGGGACACGGTTAGTGGTGGCCTTGGCAGGGCTGGGGGAATGGCTGGACTCGATCATCTTAAGAGACCTTTTCCAACCTAACTGATTCCATGAGGTGAACCCCCAGGAAACCCAAGACCCTGAGGAAACCCAGGTCACAGATGCACTGCCACCCCACACAGGAAACTGGTTTGGGGAGCACAGCTGAAGTCAGAGGTCTGTGAGCTCAGGGCTCTCGCTCCCACACGTTCCCTGCACCCACCGATCTCGCCCTCGTCGGCCTCCCACGTCATGAAGCAGCAGTTTGTCTCGGTGTCCCACACACAGATCTGGCCTGAGTTGGTGCCGCTGTAGAGGAGAGTGTCAGCACCATAGCAGAGAGAGGTGAGTTCCACCGGCCCCAGCATGGCCGGGGCAGGGGCTCGATGAACCTGCCAGGGCACACAAACCACCAGTGTCAAAGAAAACCAGGTGCTTATCTCCATTGGGGAAAAAAACATCCTTCTCCCCTCGATTCATGCAGTTAACACCTCAAATACAACAACAAACCACTCACAGCCAACCAACTTAACCTCTGTATGGGAAATCATCAGCTCTTGCAGAGCTTTGGGGGCAGAGCTTCCACCGTCCTCACCAGGGGCTTGGAAGAGAAGGCAGAGATGCTAAAGATGAATTTTGCAAGGCACACCAGGGGTTTACCTTGAGGCAGAGAGCAGCTCCCTGCTGCTCCAACAACCAGAACATCAGTGCTCCCCTCCCCACGCAGGCCAGGTCTTGGTGACACACAGGGCTGAAAGCCACATCGTGCACTGGCTCTGAGACACGAGTGGACAGCAGGAGCTCCCGAGTGTAGATGTTCCACAGAGCCATGGTCTGGTCACTGTAGTCCCCTGAGGAGAACAGCAAAGACTTGAGGAGGAACTCTGCAGCCTTGGAACGCTCACAAGCACCCACCCTGCACCCAGGCTGTGTCACTGCCTGGTCCAGCTGTTGGGAGACAACTTCCCAGACACAATTCCAGGCATGGACACAACTCCCAGTGATGGATTCTGGGCCAAGTCAAGCACAGACAGACCTGGCCCAGCACTCTGTGCTGGAGGTGGCAGCAAGCCTGTCCCAGCAGTGGGTGTGCAGCTGGTGTTGGGTGACTGGGATTTCCACAGGCATAGCAGCTTTCCAGCTCCTTCCACATCATTAGAGGCTACTGCACACCTCATGCCCCACACAGGCCCCTCAGGGCCATTGGGCACTCAGGGCTAACCACAGGACTGAATAAGAGAGGGATGTCACTGTTGCTGAGGTCACAGCGGAGGTGGGAGCTAACCTGAATGGGTCCCACTGTAGCTGGGAGGGAGCAGAAGGCACAGGCCTTGGTGATGGCAAAATTCCCAGGCTCTCAGGCAACTCTGGAGGACAGTGCTTTCCTGCTGCCTCTCCCAGGCTTCACAAGCTCAGTGCAGACTTTCAGCTTTTTCCTTCCCTGCAGCCCAGGCCATAGCTGGAGGAGGAAAGCTCCTCTCCCACGCTGCTCCGTGGAGAGCACAAAGCTCTCTCCAGCAAAACTTGCTTTTTTTTCCCCAAGGACAGCCTCCCCTGCTCCACAGGTCCCTCTCATGCAAAACAAGAACTTCCTAATCACATGTTGTCCTTTAAATGTTCCCTGCCTAAACAAAACAGACAGCTTGAATGTCCAGCTTGTGCTGGCATGGTTGCCTGGCAGGAGGCTCACAGTTGGAGCCTGGCTCCTTCCAACTCCACCTCAGCAGCAATAACAAGTGCAGAACGAGGCTTTTCCCTTTGGACACTATATATAGTAACCACAAACCTTTTACATGGGGTTTAAGAAGCACTAGTGAGTCAGAAGAAAGCTGTAACTGCTGCATTATCCACTGTCCCAAGGCTCCCACACAAGAGCTTCATACCCAAAACTCTGCCACATCTGGGCAGATGCTTTGTGCTAACAGCACCTGCCTCCCATGCTCTGTGTGCTGCAGGGTGCAGCCGTGCAGCCACAGCTGGTATTACAGGGGTGCTCACCTATGGTGACAAGGAATCTGTCATCCCTAGAGAAAGCCATGGCTTGTACTTGTGTCTCGTGCTGGAAGAGCTGTGCTGTGCAGGCTCCATCCTGGACATTCCAGATGCAGATCTGACAATGGGAGCCTCCATCCATCTTCCCCGAGGCAGAGGCAAGAACCTAACAAACACTGTGCTGTCACTGAGAGCTTGGTACGTAACTAAACACTCATTAGTCATAGCAATTTTAGTCCCAAATTGTTGTGATGTGGTTGTCAAATGGAGAATTCTCTGGGAACAACCATCAGCTGATGGCAGGAGGGAATGGGAGCATCACCCTGAGGAAGGGAGCAGCCTTCACAGAATCCCACAATCACTGAGGTTGGAAAAGACCTCCACGATCACTGAGTCCAACCAGTGACCATCACCACCTTGCCAATTAGACCAGAGCTCTGAGTGCCATGTCCAGTCATTGCCTGAACACCTCCAGGGACGGTGACTCCACCACCTCCCTGGGCAGTGCCAATGGTTGACAGCCCTTCCTGCAAAGGAATTCTTCCTGATGTCCATCCTGATGACCCACCCTGGCACAGCTTGAGGCTGTATCCTCTTCTCCTGTCCCTTGTTCCCTGGGAGCAGAGCCTGACCCCACTTGGCTGCACCTCCTGCCAGGGAGTTGGAGAGAGCAAAGCAAGAAGGTTCCCCCTGAGCCTCCTTTCATTCCAGCTGAGCCTCCACAGCTCCTTCAGCTGCTCCTTATCAGACTTGTGCTCCAGACCCTTGTCCAGCTCTGCTCCCTTCCCTGGACACATTCCAGCCCCTCACTTAGGTAGAGTACAACCACACTGAGCCACCACAAGGGACAGGTAGGCTCCAAAATCACTTCCATAGCCTCCACACAGCAGGCAGAAGGAGGAACAGTCGAATGGGATTTCAGTCTGTGGCACCCTGACAGAGCCAGGCCCAGCCTGGGGCAGCAGGATTCTCTCCTACCTGGGCATCGTGGCTGAGGGTGAGTGTGGAGATCTCCTCAGCGTGGCCCAGCCAGTGGCTCTGTGACCCTGAGTGCAGGTCCTCGACCACGATGACGCAGCCACACGAGTAGGCGAAGAAGCCTAGGCAGAGGGGGAGGAGGAGATGGGATGTTTTCACGGGAAGGATTCACATCCAGCCCCCACCACAACCTACATGGAAAATTCCATGATTCATTAATCCAGCTGACTCTTCCACACAGTTTGTCAGCAGCAGGTTGGGAGTGGGATAAAATCTCACTTCCCCTCACCTGAGCAAAGCAAAGCTGTTGGGAACTGCTCCAGCTGGAGAAAAGAGGCAGGATGGGCTCTGTGAGAGCTTCCCTTCTGCCCTATCCACTCAACAGCTGAAGCCTGAGTCTACCCCAGCAACCAGTGCTTCCCATTACATCAACAAAGAAGAGTTAATGGATTTCAGCAACACAAAGAACCTCTGTGTTCAAGCAAAAATCCCATCCCAACCTTCCACTAGCCCAGGATGCTCCAAGGCCTTCTAAGCTGGCCTTGAACACTTCCAGGGATGGGGCAGGCTCAGCTTCTCCAGGCCACACATCCCACCCCTCCAGAGCATCCCCACTTTACCTGTGTCCGGGCTCCACACCATGTTCCCTCTGCCATTCCCATTGTAGCCGATCACTGCTTTCAGCTTCAAGAGCTCACTGCCTGCTTGAGAAGCCAAGAAACTCTGCAAGAGAAAGAGGCTCTGGCTCTAGGATTGTCTGGTCAGGTGCATCAGTACCCAGGCAGGAAAAAGCCTCTGTGCAAGCACAACCCCCCAACACAGATCCATGCCGATGCCCACACAGCTCCATACCCCTAAATGCACACTTCTACACACAAGAGAGATGCTGCCCCTCAAGAGCCAGGCACAGATGCTTTCAGCTGGCATACAGAACAGGCTGGCAGCAACTGCCCAGCCAAGGAGCTGGAAAAGAGCTCCATGGCATTTGGTGACTGGGGGACGTCAACATTTCACCAGGAAGAGCTGAGGGGGGAAATGCTGCCCGGTGTGGGGACAGAGAACTGGGGGCGCAGGTTGGAGGTAGCTCGGGGCAAGGCTGAGTTCAGTTTGTGCTTTGTTCCTGCTGTGTTTGTTCACAGAGCAGGAGCTGTGCTGTGCCTCTCTCCGTGCTCCATGATGTGCCTTCCCCAGCCTGTGCTGCCAACGCAGCTGCTCGCAAACACGGGCACGCTGTGAATCACTCCATTGCTCACTCCTTTTCACTCTCAATAGCACATGCCATTTCCACTCCTTCTGAATAAAAATGTATGCAGATTTGGTAAACACAAAGAGAGTTGAGCACAACTCACTTTTTCCTAGTCTGAGTAGAGCTGCATGTAGAGGAGATCAGGGAATTAATGCTAGGATCTCTCACTGAACATCAGCCCAGGGGGTTATTTCCCAAATAGCTTTCAAAGAGAGAACAGAATGGAAACAATCTGGGAGATCCACCTACCCCAGCCCCAAAATGCCAGTCCTCCACCTGCCCAGGTAACCAGCCCTGGCACAACTCTCACCTGAGGGAGCACAGATGCCTTGAAGCGAGGAGTGAAATGCCGATAGGAATCTGGGCGGACGGAGCACTGGGAGTTGGGAGTTTTGCTCTCCTCCCTGGGTTCTGCCACGCAAAGAAAATTATACCTATGGGATGCTGCCCCTGGTTTGGGAACAGCACCCAGGCTGTGGCTGGCTGTCCATTCAGGTGCTGTGTGTGTGCCCACACACGAGGCAAAAATCAGACTGCAGCGTCACACACAGCACATCCTGAGCTGGAAGGGACCCCCAAAGATCGGAGTCCAACTCCTGTCCCTGCACAGACACCCCAACAATCCACCCTGTGCCTGAGAGCATTGGCCAAACACTCCCTGAGCTCTGTCAGGCTTGGGGCTGTGCCCACTGCCCTGGGGAGCTGTTCAGTGCCCAAACACCTCTGGGGGAACAGCCTTGTCCTGATACCCAGCCTAAACCATCCCTGACACAGCTACAGCTATTCCCTCAGCTCCTGTCACTGTCACAGAGAGCAGAGAGCAGTGCTGCTCCTCTGCTACTCCTTCCTCATGCTCCTACATGACCCCAGCTGTCCAGGAGCAAAGGAATAACATCCATCTCCCCCCCCACCTGAGAACAGCCAATGGGCACCCACGCCATGTGCTGCAGAACCACAAGCCCCACAGCTCCAGGTCTGTAGGAAGAGCAGCAGTTTTATGCTGAGGCTTTCCAACAAGCCCTGCCAGGGCTGAGTGCTGGCAGCTGCCTGCTCCTGGCAGCTCTCCATGCCCCACTGCAGCTCCAGGGCTCTGCAGCTATTAATAGAGACAGGGGGAGTTGAATTGCAGCTGGATTTCATGGAACATGTCACTTAGAGATGATACTGGCTCCAAGCTGAGGAGAGGCTTCTGGTGTGCCTCGAGCAGGAAAAGAGCCAGCAAAACGAGCAGTTTTGGGGACAATGTGAGCTTCCCTCAACACTGCCTTCCCTGGCTAGGTCATGCCCAAGGGAAAAGCCCTGAGGGACACGTTGCTGCGCCTTGTCTCACGCTTGGAGCACACGTCTGGGTCTCCTGGACCACATTAATTATAAGTTCTCTTTAATTTTGCAGGGACAGGCCCAGCTGCCACGCAGGCCTGCACACCCTGTGCCCCAGCCAGGCTGGGTCTACCCCTGATTTACCACTGGCTGATTCTCCAGGAGCTGTTGGACTCTCCTGCCTCACTCTGGACCTCACAACTAGCTCCTCGGTCCCGTCTGACTCCACCACAAGGACTGAAGCATCTTTGTCTCCATTTGACACCATCCTGCTGCTGCCTGGTGGATCTGCTTCCTCCTCTTTGTCTGACTCGGAGGAAATACCTGGAGAGAAAGATCTGTGGGAGGATGGAGCCATCCATGTCCTTCAGGGCCACTTCATGTGTGCCCAGCCCTTTGTTTTCTGGCAGTGCCATTTCTCTGCTCTGTGGAACAGCCCAGCTGTTAGGTTAGAGGGAAAGTAGAAAATTTCTATTGGGAATGGCCAATGAGGTGTTTACCATAGCCCTCAGAGAAGATGTGCCAGCAGCTCAGTGTTTGGGGGGCAGAGGATAAAGGGGTGCTGAACCTCAGCACCTCTGGGCCTTGTCCGGCTTGGGGGAAAGAATTGCAGACTGCTCTGGCAGTCTGTGGGAAGGGACCATGAGCAGGGATGGCTCCCAGGCTGCTGCTAAGCTAAGCAAGGAGCTTTTCCTAAAACAAGGCTAATTTTCCCCTTTCCTGCAAGCAGTTGCTCTTACTTTGACATCCTGCTTGGTGGGCAGAGCTGACATCCAGGCACGGTGGTGAGGACAGCAATGGAATAGGCACTGTCTGCCTAGGGGTCTCAGAGACATCCTTGGGCTTGTCAGGGCTGTCTGCTGGGAAAAGAAAAGGTTTTGTGCAACTTCCTTCACCCCTCAGCTCCTCTCATCCTCCTGGATTGATAGGGATACCTCCAAGGTCATCTCTCCAGCTTCCTCCTATGCAGGGGAAGTCACTTCTCCTCTGCCTTTCAAGCAAGAGAGGAACAGAGAGAGAAAGAAAGACATTGAGGGTAGGGAAAAAGAAGACAGATGAGAAGCAGGGAAGGTAGAGGGCAAAAGCTGACAGACCTACCAGAAAACCCAGAGCAGCTCTACTCACAACATGCCCTCATTGGCAGACTCCCTCTGTCAGGTGCTAATTAACTGGAGACTGTCCCTTGGGGTTAATTACCTGGTTCACCCCTGCCAGGTGACTCCCTCAGGGGAGGCGCCAAACCCCCCAATCCCTACCCTCTGGAAGAGCTTCCAGCCTGGCAGGCAGCACCACCTGTGGGAGCAGGTAAACTCACCTGGTCCTGACAGCAGAGCAGACGTGGGGGAACATGCCCTGGAAAGGTCAGGAGATTGGTGTTAGAGCGAGTGGGGATGGACAAGCAGGGCAGGCAGTGCCCAGCACCCTGCACTGACCTGGTTGGGGAACACCTCTGTGCAGGGGGAGCTAGGAAATCCCAGAGGAAGATGGCATCCCCCACGCTGATGACGTGCCTCTGGTCAGGGGTGAAGGCCACCTGGCGCACGGGCTCCGAGTGGCCGATGTACACCTGGGGGAGAGCACACCTTGAGCTGCTCCAGCATCACACCTGTCCTGCTGGGATGGGGCTCACTTTACTCCCTGCCCTGCACAGCCAGTGGCCAGGGTGGACAAGCCTCAGCAGAAAACCCAGAGGAGGATCTACCACACTCTGTACCACACCAACCCAGGGCCGACCTTCAACACACTCATCTGGGGAAGGAAGGAGAAGCTGAAAACCCCAAGGTCCTATCCTACCTCTGAAGCCCTGGGAGAATCATTTTCTTCTCCAGAAGGCCCTGTGCCTAGCACAGAGGTATCACATACTCTTGTCCTTCACAGAGGACTCACTGTGCCCAGTGCTAGGCATTATCACCGTGTGGGAATGGGGCTGCATTTCTCTGCTAGGCAAACTGGGACTGGGGACACTGGGCCAAGTCACACAGAGGCCATTTGCTGCCCTTTTCTCCAGGGATTCAGAAATGCACCACCAAGCCCTTCCCTCCCTCTGGGGGCAGTACCTGGGAGTTGACATGGAAGCGCATCCGATAGTCCCACACTTTGATAACCTTGTCACCAGCAGTGAGCAGGTACTGCCCATCCCTGCTCAGTGCCAAGGAGGAACAGGACAGCTTGTGCACAGGGCACACCTGAGGATGAGAAGAGGCACCAGCAGCATTAACTGAGCTAACTCATGTCCTTATTTACAGTTCAGCAAGAGAAGAGGAGTGTGGAGAACAGGACAAGCTCAGGCTCACCCTGAGCACGACCACACCAGGATAACTACAAGGTTCCCATTGTGTTTCTTTGAAGCCTGTGAGCTCCAGCATCAGCTTTTCTCTCCTTTAGCCTCCCACAGTGACGTGAAGTGCCCAAACCCCACAGGAGCCCTCAGAGGATGAGCTGTAGTGTCCTACCTCTCGCACCACTCGTCCTGTTTTCGCATCAAGCACAAGGATTTTACAGGATGAAGTGGACACCAGGAGCTCTCCTCGAGGCACAGGGGCAAAGCACACCCTCACTGCAGAGTCCAAGGCTGTGCTGTGCATGTCCAGGGTGCTGATGTCCACCTTCAGCAGCTGTGGAACAGGGAGCTATTGAGCAAACACTGCAGGAGCCTCAGGATTGCTCTCATGCTGCTAACATGAGGCTTCAGAGCACCCCAGACCCTTCCTTTCCCAGCTGAAGGTCCAGGCAGTGTCCCAGCTACCACCTTCCTGGAGGGAAATGAAGCCAGAGGAGCAGAAACCTTGGCTTTGTTGTTTCTGCCTCACAGAATGGAAACCAAACCTGCCTGCAAGCTCCCTGCTCTGCAGGGAAGGACCTCTCCAGCACTGCTGGTGCCCAACACCCTGGAGCAACCCGTGGAATTTCCTCTCCCACCCACAGCACCCTGAGCACTCACTGCCCTCCCCAGGAACAAGGGGACCCCTTGGGTACCTCATCGAGGGAGCAGGCCTCCATCACAGTCACCACATGCTTGGAGGGACCCACAAAGGCCAGGAGCTGGCTGTCCCCACTGACCACCAGTGCATCCAGGCCACTCCCAGCATCCTGGGCCACCACATTGCCTGGGGGACACAGCAAGGGAGTGAGAAGAGACAGGCAGAGCCCACACCACAGCCAGCGGCTCTCTGACAGAGCTGCTGAGCAGCAACTGCAGCTTCTGCTGCCTCTGAACCAGCCCTGGTTAAAATTCTGGCCTCAGAAAGAAGCAACCGGTGTCATAGGAGAAGCTACAGATTTTATCTATTGAAACTCTGCTGTCTGTCCCTGGAACGTGACCAGGCACTGAACATGGTTTCAGAGCAGAGTCAATAGCTGCAGCACTGACACCAGACTTGGGGGATTTTGAACCAATTCCCTGATCTCTCTGAGCCCCTCTTCCTTCTCCTGCACACTGCTTGGGGCAGGATCCTCCCCTTTGCACAATATTGCACTGTACAAAAACCAGAGCTCCCTTCCCTGCCCAAGCTCGTGCTAGAATGTGTTAGAATGTCTGTGCTAATGAAGGAAAGGAGAGATAACCCCAGAACCTTACCCAGGACTCTCAGGACGTGGCTTTTCTGTGCCACACAGCTGTACAGAGCCAGAGCTCCCTGCAAACAGGAGCTGAACATGAAATTGCCATCTGGAGAGAAGGTCAGCCCAGTGATTGCCGTGCTGTGCTGCCTGAGAGAAGGCAGAAAACATGGGAAAGGGAAGAGAAAAGCAAACACAGAGGAAACAGAAGTGATGTTGAGTGCAACGTGGTGAAGAACCCAGGAGAAAATTAATCAGGAGCAGAGCAGGACCCCACCATGCTCACAACTGCAGCAGCCCAGGACAGCTAACACTGCAACCCATCAGAAAACTGAGCAGCAAGCACAGCACTCCAGCCTGGATGGGACCTGCTCCTCTTCCTTTGCAGCACCCTCTGCTTCCCACACCAAAGCTCCTTCCCACTTTTTCCCTGGGAAGTCAGAAGGAAAGCCATGCATGCTGGGATTTCACCCCCTGGAGCCTCAGCACAGTGGGCTCTGCTCCCTTGGCAGTTTGCTGACCACACCAAGCTGTGTGGGGCAGCCACAGCTGGAGGGAAGGGCTGGGACACCCAGAGGGACCTGGACGTCCATGACCATCATGACCATCGCTGAGGCTCTTGGCAGGACTCCTAGTCAGAGCCAGCACAGTTCCCCCTGCCAACACTCACCTGTGCTCCAGCAGGAGCTCGGATGCAGCCAGGCTGAAGGTTCTCACTGTCCCACTGGAGAAGCCACAGGCCAGGAGCTGCTGGCTCGGGTGGAAGGCCACGGCACACGGCGTCTCCCCCGCAGCCGCGAAGTCGTACAGCTGTGGGGAAGGGACACCACAGGCAGGAAGCTGTTAGAGCTGAGCTGGGAGCCAGACCCAACAACTCAACAGCATCAGACCTCCACGAGTCTGCCCCTGATCCTGCCTGGATGGATTGAAAGCCCAGTGAAGTCCTGGGTCATTGGGCATTGTTATGTTTTGTTTAAACAGCAATATTCCAAAGCTGGAGGGAAAGCAAATAGTTTTAACAATAGCTCCAGAAGGTACTGCAAAGTATGCATTAAGCTAAAACTCCCAGAACTCCATACTTCCAAAGGATTTCTTACCCCTCATGCTTCAGGGAGGACTTAAGGGCTCTTGAACTGTGGAGCTTTGATAATTAGACCAGAGACCCAGAAGACTATGAATAAATGTGAGACACCTCCTGCCTCTCATGTCCCCTACCTGCTGCATGGAGACAAGGTCCCAGACCCGGATGGTATTGTCCTGGGACACTGTTGCTATCTGCTTCCAAACCCCCTCCACTGAGAAGCCCAGGACAGTGTCCTCGTGGGAGCGCATGAGGGTGTTGTAGTCCCGGGACTGGGTGTCCAGGTAGCCCAGATTCCCAGCAGCTGTGGTGCACAAGGCTTTGTGGCTGTCTGGGCTGATGCAGACAGAACTCACTGGAGCCTCGAGCTCTGGGGAAAGACACAGGAGTCAGCAGTTTCCCTGGGAAAGGAGCAGCAGCAGCTGGGACACAGCTACCAAGCCAGGTTCACATTTACTAAGGCAATGCCCACAGGAATGAGCATCCCAAGACCAAGGGCTGAACTCTTGCAGGTGTGAGTTTAGTGACAGGTCAGTCTCCACCCCTGCTAAACTCCCCTGGTGATTGCTTCAAGGAGTCAAGAACTGCTTAATTCTCTCCTAATTCTGCATGGACAGATGAGCCATGGGTACAAGAACACAGAAATCAGGACTGAAAGTCTGCTCCCTGCCAGGAAATCCTGCCTTTCTCCTAGGAGTTACAAGAGTGAACATGAATGATTGCCACTGAAGACTTCCAGGGCAGCCAGCCCTGGAGACAGCACACATCGAAGATGCCTTCACTCATGAGCACTGCTGTGGCAGTGCAGCTCTGCACGTGTGGCAGGAGGAGATGTGGAACTCAGCAACACCACTCCCAGCTCTGCTCACCTGCCTCAAAGACAACTGCTGAGAAGTCCAGTGGCCACAGCCGCAGGTAGCCATCCTCTGAGCCCACGGCACACAAAGTTGAGGAGATGCTGATGCAGTTTATGGCAATGCCAGGGCCTGAAAAGCCAAAACATGACACCACCTTGCAGAGATGAAACAAGAAAACAGCCTGAGGAGTGCCCCATCCCAGAGCTGAGCTCAGTGCTGCACCCACATCCGTGACTGACTGGAGCCTCGGGAGGAGCAGGAACCCCATAGGGACTGACAGAACACCCTGAAGGGTCTGAGCCCTCTCAGGGCTCAAAACTCCTCTTTGGCTTGGTGAAACTCTTGCCAAACACAGAAAATCCCTAACCTTTGTTAAACCCTGCCATATTATTGCCTCAAACTGGATCCTGTAGCAAGCAATGTCCTAATTAACTGCCCGAGATACAAACCCATTTCCATGTCCCAAACCCTCTGCAGAAGGGAGAGAGAACACACAGCTACACACATTGGGATTTTTTGACTCATAGAATCATTATGGCTGGAAAAGCTCATCAAGTCCAACCATTCCCCAGCACTGCCAAGGCACCATTGACCATGTCCCCAAGTGCCACATCCACGTGGCTTTGAAACCCCTCCAGGAATGGTGACTCCAGCCCTGCCCTGGGCAGCTGTGCCAGTGCCTGACCACTCTCTCAGGGAGCAAATGTTTCCTAATACCCAACCTGAGCCTCCCTTGCCCATCAAGGAATTTCCCCCCATATCCAGTCTAACAGGTATAAAACCCACTTCTCAGAGCCCTGGGGGGAATGACCAGGAGGACCCAAGGCCATGGTAGGCCTCTCCTCGCCCATGCTGTAACTGTGGTTACATACCTCTCCAAGGGCATGCTCTGGATTAATTAGCTCATTTTGCCAAAGCAAACTATGCACTGAGTTTCAAGCTATCAGAGCAATCACACTTGAAAGTGAATTCTTCCTGCAGCTAATGGCAGAGCTGAGGGCTGGACTGCTAAGTGTACAGCTACAAAGACTCCCCAAATGCTCTGCTAGGGCTGAATAATGAAAAAAATCCCCAAATTCCTCTTTTTATTGGCCTGCTTAGTTCTTTTTCCATCTCTCCATTAAGCCTCCCATCAGCAAATGAAGACTTTGTTTCATGTTTCTAAAAGTAGTGTTTCTCTGAAAGTGCAATCAGCATTTAAAATGCTAAAATCTTCCTTAAAATGCCACTTTGCTGTACTAAGGAAGATTATTTGCAGCCCTTAAGAGGCAAAGAGCTAGCAATGATCTAATCGACCCAAAATAAGCCTCAGCAGTAGGTGAAGGGCTGATGTGTGCCCTGGAGTGGGTGCTGTGCTCCCACCTGAGCCTGCCTGGCACTGCCCATCCCGCGCGGGCAGCAGGCGCCGTGCGCTCCGCACGCACAGCTTCTCACAGTCCACTTCCAGCACGTGGCCACTCCTGCTGCACACAAAGCTGAGGGGAACCAGCAGAGACACCTGGGGTTAGTGAAAAAACCAGCTTGGTTTGCCTGTTAAACTGCTTTGCCTATGGAAAGCAATCCTGGTTCACAATCGTGGAACGGGTCAACCAGCGTCTGTGTGTGCCATGTGCTACCCCACACGTCTCCAGCCAGGCCAGAGCTTCCTGTGGGGTTTCCTGACCCTTAACACCCAAAAGAGCTAAAAGCTTGGCAAAGACGCCAGAAAGGAGCTTCTCTCTGCCACAAAGGGAAGCCAGAGCCAGCAGCTCTGCCCTTGTGGGATCATATGTGGCTTTGATGGTTAAAATGAAACACCACCATCAGTGTATGTGTGCTGGATGCAAGAGGTGTGCAACACTCTCCTCCAGCTGCCATGGAAAGCTTCAGGTGGGGAGAGTGCCTAAACATGGCAAGGCATCAGTATGGGGAGAGATTCCCTAAACATGGCAAAACATCAGTATGGGAAGAGTAAACATGGCAAAACATCATTTTGGGGAGATGAAAGAGCCATTCCTTGGGCTGCTCTGTAAGCAGCCAAATCTGTTTTGGGAAGTGAAGTGTGCTGAGGAGGGGAGAGGCTCCAGCTCCAGGCAGCACCTGTACTTTGCAGGGAACAGCCAAGCAGAACACTGTGGAGAAGGGGGAAGGAGGATGCTGAGCAGGGGGAGCTGCAGAGCTCCCTCCTGGGGACGGTGACAGTGACACCCCTTACAGCATGCAGTCCTTGGGATCCTGGTGCCCCTCGTCGAAGGCCAGGCCGGTGAATTCCAGGGAGTGGTACTCGCCCAGACTGACGGGACAGGAGCGCAGTGCTCCGCTCCGCACCCGCCACAGCCGGACGCTGTCCCGGCCACACGACACCATCCTGCAAAAGGGTGGCAGGAGACATGGTGTGAGGATCAGGGCAGAGCACCCTTGGTGAACAGGGAGTGTCTCAAGGCCACCTGACAGCAAGGACTGGGAGCAGGAACAACAAGGGGATGGCTGCAGCACCACCGTTCCCCCTGCAGCCCTTCCCAGAATCATGGAATAGTTTGGGTTGAAGGGACCTTAAAGCTCATCCCATCCCACTCCTGCCACGGGCAGGGACACCTCCCACCAGCCTAGTGTGCTCCCAGTCCCATCCAACCTGGCCTGGAACACTCCCAGGGATGGAGCAGCCACAGCTTCTCTGGGCAACCTGTGCCAGTGCCTCAGCACCTCACAGGGAGGAATTTCCTCCCAATATCTAGGAATCAATGCTCTTGTTTTCTTTGCACACTACCTGGTATCATCAAAAGAAGCAATCTTCAGGGCCTGGATGTCCACATCCGTGTGTGCTTTGGCCAGCATGGTCACCTGTCCACCACAGGTCACCTGAGCAGTGTTCCACACCACCAGTATCTAAAGCATGAAAACACCATGAAGAGCTGCTCAAAGCCTTGGCAGCAGAAGAGCTTTTCATCCAGCAGCTGCTCCAGAGCTGGGCACAAAGTATTGATAATGGAGCTGGAGCAGGGGAAATAAAACCTCTTGCACAGAGGGTTTAGGACAGTCCAACAGCTTGGCAAAGCCTCGTGGCAATATCCTTGCCTGGCATTCATAATTATAGGTTCTAAATCCCAGGACTGCCTGGCAACAGGGCTCACACTTGGAAAGAAAAGCCAGAGAGGAGTGGGAACTCTGCCTGCTGGGATATAGGAACTGCACCTGGGCTGAGCCAGGCTGCAGGAACAGGAGTGTCCACTGCCCTGGCTATCCAGCACTCCAGTGCAGGTCCATGTGCCCACAGTGCCCATCCCCAGTGGGCAGGAGCCAAACCTCCCACCAGAGCAGGTTGCTCAAGGCTTTATCCAACTTGAAATGAACACTGCCAGGGTTGGGGCAGCCACAGCCTCCCTGGGCAACCTGTGCTTTTAATTTGTTCACTTGCAGCTGAGGAACACATGTGAGAACAGCCACAAGTATCAGGCAGAGAGAAAGGACCTTCCAGGCAGCTAACAAGAAAGGAGTCTCCCTCAAGAACATGGCAAGGAAAGCTCAGAGCAGAGTTTTGTATGCAAAATAGCTCCAGAACTTGGGAGAACAGCCATCTCAGGGGAAGCTCTGAGCCCAAGGCAGCTCTCACCGTTTTGCCGTGCCCGTCCTTCCCGACACCACACAGAACAGCTCCACTGTGGGAAAGGCTGCAAGGAGAGGCACCTGGTGAGACACAGTTCCCTGCACCCCAAGAGCATCCCATAAAGGGGGACAAGGACAGGGAGACAGCAAGACCTGAGGGCTAAGCTCAGGAGGGAGCTGGCAGCGCATCCAGGCCAGCAGGTCTCAGTGACTCTAACTCATCCCTGGTTTATCACGCAGGGATAACATGGAAAAGCTGCTGTGCTGCAACACACAGCTACAGCCAGCTGCAACCCACCTGAGGGCCCAGAGGGAGTGGGTATGGGTTCTGAAGACGGAGAGGCAGGTGCCCGTGGGGAAGTGCCAGAGGCGCCCGAGGCCGCGTGGCCCAGCCTCGGCCGAGGCCAGCAGGGCACTGCTCCCGTCCAGCGCCAGCGCCGACACCTGTGGGGAGCACCAGGTGAGGACCTCGGGGACAGCTGGGCCCAGGGGGCCTGGGGGGCAAAGACAGAGCTTTGTAAGGCTGACACTCACCTTATCCGTGTGGCCAAGGAAGAACCTCTGCTGGCCAGTCTGGAGCTGCAGGGCCACAACCACAGCATGGCAGGGATACACCACAGCAGTGCTGTCCTGTGTCCACAGAGCCTGCAGCACCCACACAGGAGGGACAGAGCTCCACTAGGGCCCCAGCTCCAGGCACAGGCTTCTTCCCCATCCCTGGGAGTGTTCCAGGCCAGCCTGGATGGGGCTTGGAGCACCCTGGGCTAGTGGAAGGTGTCCCTGCCCATGGCAGGGGTGGAATGAGATGAGCTTTAAGGTCCCTTCCCTGCTACATGAACAGCAGACCCAAGGAAAATTATGTTGCTGGCAGAGACTTGAATTGGCCGAACCAAAACTACTCTTTCTTTACCCTGTCACAGGCCACAAGCAAGGCCCAGTGCCCCATGGAAACAACACTCAGCCCTTCCTCTCCAGCCTGCTACACACTGCTCAGATTTTAATGTGCTAAAAAGTTGTGATAGCTGGAGAAGAGATTGGAGCACACGTCTGATGAGGAGAGGCTGAGGGAGCTGTGGGGGCTCAGCCTGGAGAAAAGGAGGCTCAGGGGGAATCTTCTCACTCTCTCCAACTTCCTGACAGGAGGTGCAGCCAGGTGGGGTCAGGCTCTGCTCCCGGGGAACAAGGGACAGGACTCAAGTTGTGCCAGGGGAGGTTTGGGGAGGTTTAGATTGGATATTGGGAAAAATTTCTTCACTGAAAGGGCAGCCAAGAACTGGAACAAGCTGCCCAGGGAAGTGATGGAATCACTGACCCTGGAACCACATGGTTTACTGGTGGGCTTGAGACATGGTTATTGGTGACCTTAGTGCTGGGGGAATGGCTAGACTTGATGACCTCAGAGAGCTTTTGCAACCTGTGATGCTATGTAGAAAGCCCCATAATTTCTAATTCACCTTCAGAACAGCAGAGAACACGTGCATGAACACACACTCGTGCCCATCTGCTTTGGGGTCATTTCCCACACCAAGAAATGCTGCATTCCATTTCCTGCCTCCAAAAATCAATACCTTGGCCACAAGATGACAGATCCACTCCCCCAACCACCCGAGCTACTCACCCATTTGGTGCTGCAGCCTCCAAAGCCAATAATCATTCTCAGCTTCAGGATGGGATCTGGTAAGAGCCTCTGGAAAAAAACAGACAGCACCACCATGCTTAGAGCCAGGCTGAGAATCCCCCACGGTGCCCCCGTGCTCACTTCTCTCTGAAGCACAGGGGCAGCTTTGGGGCTTTCCTGGCAGAGGGGACAATGTGAAGTATTAAACCTGGCAGAGTCAAACCTGGCAGGCAGGAGGAGCTGGGGTTTCTTGGTGTTAAGCAGCTCTCCCACCCAGCCCTTCCCAGAGCCCAGAGAGCTGGGGCTGTGCAGGAATCATGGAATGGTTTGGTTTGGAAGAGACCTTAAAGCTCATCTCATTCCAACCCTTGCCATGGGCAGAGACACCTTTCATCAGCCCAGATTGCTCCAAGCCCCATCCAGGCTGGCCTGGAACACTCCCAGGGCTGTCCTCCTGCCCTGCAGGGTGGGGCTCACCTGTGGGATGGCACACCTGGGCCAGAGCCCTTCCCAGACAGACTCTGGACAGATGTAAACGTGTTACTGGCTTAGGGTCAGCACATTTGAACACTGGGTCCCTCTTTCAAAGCAAGTAAGGTACTAGTGGAAAGCAGAACTGCTAGCCTGAAAAAATAACACCTTTTGGACTCTGCAACTCCAGCCTCAACCCTGCATTCCCTCTCTCACTTCTGGGCTCACCTTGGGCTGTTGTGAGCCCTCAGCACTTCACCCACCTCCTGTGAGCCAGCAGGGATAACTCGGATGGTCTGCCCGTCCCTCTGATGGGCACAGACGTGGGTGCCACCATCACTGCCTGACAGTGGCTGCCCAGGGTCCCCAGCATTGTGCAGCCTCTGGCTCTCCTGCAGCTCTGGCTCCCCAGCAGTCACAGCTCGTAGAGGGCCTGGGGTTGCCAGGTGAACCTCAGGGATGGTGCTCGTGATGACAGGACTCCGGTGTGGCACCTGGGAAGGCAGAAAGGCTCAGACAGAGCTCTCCTTTGTACACTGTAATAAAGAGAGGTTGTGCTCCCCCCTTTCTCTCTCTCACAGCCTGAGGATGGGTTGCCCCAGTCACTCTCCAAACCCACACCACCACACTGGTAAGCCAGTCTGAGCACCAGCTCCCACGTCACCACTGGTGGGAACAGGGAAATCAGGATGAGGGCAGCTGCCTGCAGTGCTGGCAATCCCAGCTCCACACACAGCTCTGCTCCGCGAGGGCACTGGTCACATTCTTTAGGCTACAGTCCTCATTTCCCATCTACAATTTGAAGACAATGTGCTGCCTCCACTGAGACAGGGAGGATGGATGTCTGGAAATTTCAAGGTGCTTGGCACATCTCTTGTCTCCGTGCTGCACTACACTGAACCCCCGAGGTAATAACCACAGGGCTGTGGTCACCAAACCATGCCCAGATCAAGGCTCTGACCTGCCCGGATCAGCTGCCAACAGCTACAAACAGTTTCTGTGTCTTTAATCAAGACACTGATGTAGGGAAGAACATCATGGGAAGCAGAAAGGAAGGAGCTGCAGCCTCCTCCGTGGTGCACTTACAGCTTTGGGCCTTGTTCTGTGCTGGCTGAGGGACAGTTGGTCACGGACTGCCCTGGTGAGCGTCACTGCCCGGGGTGGCTGGCGGCTGAGCTCCTCACCTGGGCAGCACGAGGGGCATCCCAGGGCACCCCCCAGGCTGGCACAGCCTTGGCTGCTGCCCCCAGCACTCCCCCCTGCCGCAGGAGTGGGACACCTCTTCTGGATGGAGCTGTGCAGCAGCTTGGGCCCCTCGGATGGGAACCTGAGCGAAATCGGAGCAAGTGTCACGGAGCAAGTGGCACTGGCACCCAGGAATCCCTCTGGGCACCCAACAATCCCACTTGGTAACTCAGGCCTGGCACAAAAGCCCCTTCACTGGCTCCTCTAAGATTCCCCTTTTGCCCCATCTTGCCCCAAATATCGGCATAGCAAAGGCAGATGGTACTAAAGGATAGATGTGTTAATGCCCTGTGAGGGGGGTGAGACACTGGCACAGGTTGCCCAGGGAGGCTGTGGCTGCCCCAACCCTGGCAGTGTTCATTCCAGGCTGGATGAAGCCTTGAGCAACCTGCTCTGGTGGGAGGTGTCCCTGCCCAGGGCAGGGGGTTGGGGCCGGGTGATCTCTAAGGTCCAGTCCAGCCCCTTAGCAATCTCTGAATCAATCTATGACACCTAAACGGAGCTGAGGACACCAAACACCCCTGGAGCCCCAGGTTCAACTAGATCTGTCATTCCTTAAGTGGTGCCACACATCCTGCCCTCCCCCACGAGCAGGCAGCTCTGGGAGCAGCTGTACCTGATGTAGTCGTAGAGGTCATGCCACTTCTTTCCCCTGGGCACAGGGAATGCCATTTCCCGCGGGAAGGGAGAGACCCCTCGGCAGGCCAGGTCAGCGTGCCGGGCCTCAGAGAAGGACACACCTGCAGCAAAGGGACATACAGACAGGGAGCAATCCAGGCCTGTGGAGATGGCTGAAATCACATTCCCTGTGGGACACGGGCACAAACTACTTTGAGAACACATGAGAAACAAAGCTCATGAGCCTGAGGTGTGTAACAAACCAACACAGCTTGGCAGAGGTGTATTCCTGAAACCCTCAACCTCCCAAGGGCCCAGAGCAGAAATCCTTGGATTTGAGGTATGAACACCCAAGATTCACTTAGTTTCTGTTCAGTGACTCTGCACTTTCCCATGACTTGTGTTAAGGCTCTTTCCCCATTTTCTTATTTCCTTTCAGTAAAACCACTGAAGTCTTCAAGATACAACAAGTTTCTGGAATCTCAGAGGAGCCTCTATAACTTCCTGCTCACTGATGCTTTCCAGGTCAGGCAGAATTCCAGCACACACAAAAAAAGCAGAAACAAAGGGCTTGACCAAAGTATATATATCTGGCATGCTGAGCAGGTGGATAGAAAAAGCAGGTTGGAAGGTTTTTGACACAAAAGCAGCACAGGCTCTTCCAGCAGATAAAAGCACAGCTCTAGGTAAAGTGAGGTTGGTGACATCTTTCATTTCCCACCTCATTCCCCCCAAAAAATTCTAACATTGGTAAGATATTTAACTTTGCTCTTTACATTCACTTTTACAGCTGGAAAATGAAAGCACACTGTCCTCCAGAGGCTGGGAGACTGTATTCCATTCCAGTGCCTAAAGGGGCTCCAGGAGAGGTGCAGAGAGACTTTGGACAAGGGTCTGGAGTGACAGGACAAGGGGGAATGGCTTCCCCCTGCCAGAGGGCAGGGACAGATTGGATACTGGGAAGAAATCCCTCCCTGTGAGGTGCTGAGGCACTGGCACAGGTAGCCCAGAGAAGCTGTGGCTGCTCCATCCCTGGGAGTGTTCCAGGCCAGGTTGGACAGGGCTTGGAGCAACCTGGGCTGGTGGGAGGTGTCCCTGCCCACATGGAAACTTATTGTACCAAGGATTTTGCCCTTCCTATTCTTATCGTCCAGCAAGGGCAGCCCAGTGCCCTTCCAAAAGCTCAGCTTTGAACCCCCACAGGTTCCCCCCAAGGTTGGGCTGGAGTCTCAGGAGGAACCAGAGGCCACTCCGAGGTCCCAGCTCCTCACCTGGGACAAACACCAAATCACTGGTGCAGAGGTTCCTCACGAGCAGGTTGGAGCAGAGTTTGACACCCTTCAGGTGGCTGTAGCGGCGGTTGAGGTACAGGGAGTGGATGGAGGGGAGGTCCAGCACCAGGCAGGTCCAGCGCACGTCTGCAGGGGCTGCTCCTGGGGGGAGAGCAGCAGGTGGGAAAGACGCTACAGACACGGACTGTGGACCTTGCTGGATGGGAAAGACAAGATTCACGTGGTTCACTGAGAAGTATTTACCATGCAAGATTCCCACCAGGACTGTGCCAAGTGGGAGATGGGAAACACACCTTGTAGCTCAGTACTGCAGTACAGGGGTGGGGAAGGACAGACAGGCAGCCCCATGGGCTCATGCCCAGCCTGACACTGCATCCCACTGCTCAGGAGAACAGGGATGGGGACAGCCTGGGAGCTACAGCTCCAACCTTCTGGCTGTGGAGGGGCTCCTGCTCAGGCCCACCACTCTTAGCATCATGGAATGGTTTGGGGAGGAAGGAACCATAAAGCCTATCTTGTTCCACCCCTGCCACGGGCAGGGACACCTTCCACCAGCCCAGGTGGCTCCAAGCCCTGTCCAGCCTGGCCTGGAACACTCCCAAGGATGGGGCAGCTGCAGCTTCTCCTCACCATCCTCGCAGGCACCGAATCAAGTTCTGAGCTCAGTTTATTTCCCAACGGTTTATTTGGTGGCAGTGCCCCAGCC